TGTGTATTTTAAGAAATGATTTCTGTGTGCTTTCCTTGCATATGTTCCATATTCTGTGTTTGTATCATATTTGAATTCGGAATGTTCTATGTTGTGTGTTTTAAGAAGTGATTTCTGTGTTTGTATCATATTTCAATTTCAATTCGGAATGTTCTATGTTGTGTGTTTTAAGAAGATTTCTGTGTTTGTATCATATTTCAATTTCAATTCGGAATGTTCTATGTTGTGTGTTTTAAGAAGTGATTTCTGTGTTTGTATCATATTTCAATTTCAATTCGGAATGTTCTATGTTGTGTGTTTTAAGAAGATTTGGTGTGAATCTGTTGTACCTTTTCACTTGTTAAATTTGTTATAAATCTGAATGTTAAAATATTTGTCTTAAACCCTTCTGAAGGTTATTTTCCTCGCTGGTTTGGTCTCAATGATTTTGATGAGGACTCTCAGAAATGATTATGCGAAGAAAGAGAAGGAGAGCATTTGGATTGTTAAGTTTAATGAAATTTTGTGAAATCAATACACTGTGAATCTTGTGAAGTGTTGTTTGTAGGCTTCTGGATTGTCATTTTTGCTTCCTGAACAATACAAAAACTATCTCAGGTGAGTTCTATTTTCTGTTACTCTGAGTTAAACTCGTCTTATGAGCTGCACAAATACCAGATCTTTTGTTGGAACTGTAGGTTAGCAGGAAGAGGAACTGTAGAAATCACCATTGAGAAAGGTGATGGTTCGACATTTTCACCTGAATCTGGAGGTGATCAAAGAAAGAGTGCTACAATCCACGTATCAAAGCTAAATCTGATCTTCAAAAAGCAAATGTAATTGTGTGTTTTACTCACCAATCTCTTGAGCTATTCAGGTGAATAGCGGTGCATATGATGGGGCCAAACTCAATACGGTGAACCAAGCTTGAATCACAGGAACCACTGCTTTTTCTTTTGTTGCAGAGAAACTTGATCAGAGACCCTGCTTTTTCTTTTCTTTTGGCACAACCAAACAAATTTTTTTCACAAGTCCTGGCTTCATTTGCACAAGTGGAACCAACTGTTTTTGGTTGTATCTTTAGCTTTAATTTGTAGCCACTGTTTTTGTTCTGCAAATGTTGTATCTTTAGTTTTTATTTGTAGCCAATGAAATCAGTTTGAGTTTTGTATATATGTCTACTTTGAGTTATGTTATTTAACCGAATCATTCAACAAATTTCTCTTTTGATATTATACAAACATTTCTCTCTTTTGATATTATTCTCCTTCACCTCTTCTCTTTCTTTAAATTAGATATCAATTCTCTTTGTATTAAATTAGATATCAATTCTCTTTGTATTGCAATTCAAA